GTAATCACTATTTTCTTTAAATGATGATATACATGCGCTATTGAGGTAGTCCAAATTTATAAGCCTCGTGGTTTCACTTTGGACGTCCTCGCCACAATTAGTTCGTAATGTTTTATTATTATATTTAGTAGGTTAATTAAATTGTGTGATGTGTACCATATGTGTATGTCTTGCTAAGTGATGTAAATTGATATATATGTGGCAAAAATATATTCATTCATTCATTCATTCATTCATTCATATCTTTAGCACGAAGATTTTCAGTAAAAACCCTTTCACCCACATTTCGATGGCTTAGAGTACTAGGGGGTATGACTTCATTAACCGTTGCTTCAATCAGAATTTCGGAAAGCTACTTTCGTCTGCTCATTCGACTCTGAACAATCCGGAGGAACTTTTTATAAAATCGGGACATATGTGTAATCTGCTTTTTCTTAGTAAGATCTTCCACTACTTCCACACAAAACTGTCCATATCCTGTGTTGTACAAAGGCATTGAAATTGTTTCACATGATGTCTTATCGTGTCTAAGAAGTGTTACAATTCTTGTAACACTTCTTATGGTACTTAACCTTAATGGCAACACAATCTTTGTCCAAAATGTTTAATAAGATCCTGTTGTCCTTTTTCTTTGTGGCAGCTTCGCGCAAGACCTGCATCTAAAGTCTTACACGCAACAAGGGGTGTTCTTTGCCGTTGTTCCTCCTGTAAAAAATATAAATTTGGAAATTCAGATTAAAATTTGATAAACAGTTTCAACCTCGTACCCAGGCTCTTTCCACCACGCTCCTCGCTGGAGGAAAGACCCTGGCAATAGCTGGTCACGTGGCTCCCAGATTGTGGGTGCTAAATTGAAATTGTACTTAGGGAGGGGTGGTAGAGGAGTGCGCTTGTTTCGCTTGGAAAATTACAACTTGTGTGTTATAGTTTCGGGCGATAAAATTTAAATTTGCAACAAGAAATCCTAAAATATTTTGTATTTATTATCACACGTCTTCCTCTATATCATTGGGTGTTGGGTTACATTAGTCAACCGAGAAGTTGGATCAGATTTCAGTGGAAATCAAGGCTTGGCAACGAAAGCACGCTTCACTTAGTTCGTTGCAAAATCTTCCAGACCGAAGATTCTTTCTGTTGTCAGTATTGAAGTGTATCCTGTCCGATACGTAAACCCAACGGATTTACCTTATAGAAATGTGGAATTGCTATGAAATAGTAAGATCTTGTGATCCCGCCAACTGTGTATAAATTCTAAACACGGCTCTCCCGACTGTGAAATTATAAGCCCGTCAAATACTGTGATATATATACCGCTTTGGCATCGCTGAGACTCTATGATCAAGAATTATGTCGAGGTATAGCTCTCTGTTATCAAACATATGGTAAAGTCATCCGATGCAGGCAAAGACTCCTCCTCCGTTAGCATCCAACTATGCCTCACTAGAGAGAAACAGCCAAACAATATATCAATAGAAACTTTAAAATGCTTTTAAAATCTCATTGATTCGCCAGGCTTTAACCGACAGTATTAAAATTGCTTTTTCTGGGTAAATCGTATAAGATTTTTATTCAGTTGCTGTGTCCCAATCACAAGTTTAACATTCTCTTATCGTCCAGTCTGGTTAGCAAATGTTATAAACTCTTAATATCTGGTTGGCAATTTTACACGAGATCTGTCTTTTCGGTCTAACTGAATGCAAAAAGTGTAAAACGTGTTATCTGAATGTTTATATAGCTACTTCATTTAACTACAAGTGTAGTGTCTCGTAAGTCAACACAACATCGTCCGCCCCGATGATCACATCATCCATAATCATCATATCATTCGGCGGGGTATATCACTACTATTTTCGTTATGGGTCGTCGGTATTCACCAGTTGCAGTCTTTACCTTTACATTTCTTACTTTGCCATCAGTACCCGGATAGACTTGCACCACTCTACCAATAGACCATTTTCCCCTAACTGCATTAGTGTCCGCAACATTCACTACATCATCTACAAGTACATTCCTCCTTTGTGCATCCCATTTTCTTCTAGGCACCAGACACGGAAATGTATCTCTCGTCCATCTTTTCCAGAAAGAGTCTACAATTTTCTGAACAAATTCTACTCGGTGTCTCGGATTGTTCGTTTCCTTAAACGGTCCTTGCGAGATTCTACTTGAGGCTCGTCCTAACAGCATGTCATTAGGGCATAAGTAAGATCCATCATCCGGATCGTTGAGTGTTGACCTATAGGACGTTGGTTAACAAGATTTGCTACTTCTTGAAGAACAGTGTAAAGTTCAAATAGCGTGTGTATTTGATCTCCTACAGGTTTCTTCAATGCTAACTTCCAACTCTTTACCAAAGCTTCCGCACAACCGTTTTGATGCGGTGCTGCTGGTGTTATGAATTTCCATTCGTCGCCTTTCTCTGCGCAGTATTCTTGTAATTCTTTAACTTTCCATCCTTCAATCATTTCTCGCAACTCTCTCTCTCTCTCTCTCTCTGCCCCAACTAGTTGGGTGCCGTTGTCGCTTAACATTTTTGCCGGTTGTCCTCTAAGAGCAAAGAATCGTCGTAGAACTTGTGTAAACTCCATAGCAGAGCAATCAACTGCCAGTTCCAGGTGTACAGCCCTAGTGTTCAGACACGTAAATAAGACTCCATAATGTTTTGCGGTCTTGTTCCGACCAATTTTAACAGAATACGGACCAAAATAGTCGCAGGATGTTGCATAAAACGCGGGTGTAAACGGTAATAAACGTTCAGTTGGAAGTTCGCACATCCTGCTAGACAGGCCCTCTGGACCACCAAATATACTATGCAACGGACCAAGCGACAACACCCCGCGACATTGTCGCCCGGTTTGGAAGGATTGTGTTACTCAGATAATGAAGCAGTCGTTGAAAGAGATGAAACTCGAATATACTTTTGAAATGCATTCGTTTTCCACCGACCTAGAAGACGAACCTGTGCATCGGACAAACCATTCTCAGCAGCGAAAGATGCTGCACCGATTCGAAACGAATGTGATTTGTAATGCGACGGACTTAGGTCACAGTATTTGAGGCAAGCAACAAGGTTAGCGGTAAAAACTTTTCTCGGCACCACGACGCCCTCCACTGTCATAAATACTGGACCCGGACTACAGCCACGATGATTTAAATATGTTGATAATAATTGTACAGGGCAAGCGCTTGTTTGCCGGTTGATGACCATAGTAAATGGTCGCTGATTGTAGTTAT